TAAATGATGTGTAATATAATAAGTAGTCTTTTAAATGCCATGTGTAAAGTAAGTGGTCTGGCCTTGATGTAATCCATTAAAACCTGGCAACGGTCTTGCACAGACAGCTTCCACCCCCTGTGAGACAGTAGAGCTGAGCAGAGCCCAATGTTGAATGAGTTTAGCAAATGCAGAGTATCCTGAGCATAACCACACAAGCGTTCTAGATTTTTTGTACAATTCTGGTTTACAGAACGATGCACCTGTAGCAGAGAACCTTCAGGATGACTGACTGATAATGTCAGTAAGTGATGCTGCACCGAGGTCGGTCACCAGGACTCTGTCCAAACTCGGATGAATGCTCTAGTGTGACAGACTTTTTGTCTGTTGCACCAAAGCTAAATTCTTTTGGAACGACTTTGCATACACTTTTAATTTAAATACTAAACTTAAATTTGAATTACATTTCGACAGCCAAAGTGAAGTATTAATGTTGCATTACTTGCATTTGCCAAACTCTGCACAGTGTGTGGCTCAGTGTGATAGCAGCTGTTCTAGTGTGAAGGCCTTGGAGTGGCAGTTTACCCCTGTTTTGCCAAAGGGAAATCTTTCTATTAGCAACTTAATATTTGCAGTCCAACCTTTAAAGGGTTTTATAACCAACGGATCTTTCTAAGAACACCAAATATATATACATATTTCATTACCACTCTGAAAAGAGGTGTTGTTTTAAATCTTAGCAGAGTCTTACTATTTAAACATGTATGCTCTTGTCTCTTCACTGACATGAAGCTGAAGGATTGTACACTGTAGAAAAGTATACTAAAGAAAATAATTTTGAAAGCTGTTTATATCACCTTTTGAGTAAATTCAACAGAGATGAAATTACTAAATCATGTTGGGTTTACTTAAAATCTGCCTACTGTCTAATTTCTCGGTGTAAACCTTTGCAGGAATGAAAGGCTTGCAGTGATTATTTGCAGCAAATTAATTTGCGGCACGTATTTTTTCACAAGCTAACATTTTTCATTAATACGAGGTTAGCTCTTTTGCTACACTGGCCTTGTTGCACCACCTCTCAATGGATCTGCCTTGACTTTTGGACTGAGGTTGGGAAGTTCAACACAGCTGTGACTAGCAAACCTGCCCACTTTACCTGCCATGGCTATAAGAACGCAGCCAGGTTCTTTCTATTCTAAAGCAACTTAACTAGGCAAAGAATCGCAAATGCACTTGAATTTAGCTTTCTGCCTTGATTTGGACTTTTGAGGATTGAAGGGTCAAGGTTAGCCAGGCCACCGCTGTAAATATAACACAAAAAGCAATCAAGGAGTAGAAAAACAAGCTTTAGATTACGATAGTTTTTGTTTTTATTCTTCTTTGGTGAGGTTTGAAGAAGCAGCAGTGTTTTAAAAGAAGGGAAAGCATTGCACTGGTTGGTTTTGCTTTTGTGAAGCAGCTTCTATGTTGTTTCATTGCTTCTAATGTAAACAGCAACTGAGATTTTGTTTTTTGACTCTGATGTACACAATAATAATGTTGTACCTGATGTGAAAAAATACAGTGGTGTTAAATCAGTTGTGAACCATTAACAATGTTGCTTCTAATGTAAAGACTGATGCTGTGTTTTCTTTGCCTTGTTCACTTCTTAACTGACTGTCTAACAGACTGAAGAATAAACAAATGCAACACCAAACAGACAAACGAATGAAAGGAAGGATGAACAGCGCTGCTGGTACAAGCTGAGCAAAGTCACACCGAGATGTTGCTACAGTGACTAATGTATTGTTGGAAAAAAACTGCCTGAGCTTCTCTCTGCTCTTAAAGTAACCATAAACAAGTACAGTGTAAAAAGGACGATGATAAAAAGAGAAAGAAGGAGAAGAAAGACAAGGAGGATGAAGATGAACATAAAACGGGGTGGGGGTGACGAAGTTACAGCCATATGTTGATTTCTGGGCCAGTGAGACTGAAGCGGACTTCTCCTGCCCAGCATGTGTGTTGTTCTGGTGTCGGTCTGTGTCTCCTCCCTCTCTTTATCTGTTGCTTTGCTGCCAAAGTAATCAAACCTGGCAGCAAATGCTTTTGTTTTGTCTTTTCCCAAATCCCTTTTCCCCTCTGTCCCCCTACACCATGTTTTCCATATTTGGGAATGTCAATGTGCTACTTGTTAACACTGTGCATGAATGATAACATGTCTGTATATAGTTATAGAGAAGTGTATCCCATTCCTCTGGTGTTGACAAAAATGGTTTGAATGTTGTATAGATTCAGGTTTTCTGTTTATGTTCAGATACATTTTTTAATGTACGTAGAGCTGACAGCACTATGTTTTTAATTTAAACGAAGGCGACGTTTTGGAGAAACTTGCACATTAATTAATTATTGTTTGTTAAAAAGGCAATATCTGCTGTTATTGAATGCGAGATGAGATCTTAAAGGAGTTCTATATATCTTAAATCACGTATACTGGAGTTGCATGGGTTATTTGTACACAAACAAAGTGCTTGCTACTTCTAATACCGGTGGCTGTGTTCTCTGACACAAGGGGTGGAATACTCTATGTACATCTAAAGGTTATTTTGTCATTAAAGAAAGAAGAATAATATTGTGTATATACTGTATAGTGTTATAAGTGAGGTGGACTAAATGGCCATCACACTAACCTTAGAGAATAATTCTACATATTTATTTAAACACTCATTACACTCAAGAATGACATATATTGCCTTTTTGGAGAAGTTGTATTTTGCTTGTTTGTCTCTGTCTTGTTTCTTTCTTCTTCTCTGTTTCATTATACTGGTCTCTTTTCTTGCTATCCCCCCTCTCTCTCCCACTCTCTCGCTCTGCTGTTATTTTTTCATCAGAGGGGCGTTTCAGACGGGCTTTTGTCTTTTTACTGCTTGATTCAGACTCAGACTGTCACTTTCTCTGTTTGTCTTTGTGTCTGTCTGACACGTCCGGCTGCTTATCCCACTGACTCGGCAGCATCTTGTACTCGCCTGTTTTCTTACATGTATTTCAATCTGCAGTTACACACCCATCTCACGATGGATCACGTGTCTGTATTTGAGTCTCGCTCTGAACAGTCTGTCTCTGTAACTGTTTCTCATGGTTGCTAAATTCTCTTTCTCCTTTCTTTCTTTAATCCACCTCCACCTTCAAACTCTTATTTCTCCCCGTCCATCTTTTTGTTTTCCTTCTCTTCGCTCTCACGGGGTGTAGCTGGGGGAATTTGTTTGTCAGTATGATTTAGGGTGTTTTTAAAATTGAACAATAACCACAACAATGTCGGTATTAATGAAGTAATTTTTGTTTTCCGCTGTCCTGTGTGCACTATCCTCAGACTTTTATTTTAATTCATTTTTGCTGAGCACCAACTGATAGGAGAAAAATGTTGTATGTGTGTTGCCACTAACTGTGACTGCTCTCCATGGTACAAGGTACTTCTGATAAAACCAATAAAATAAAGTTTGGGATACCCTGTTTCAGAGACCCTGCGAGTCCAATGCCTTTCTAATGTGTGTGTGTGTGTGTGTCATAGCCATTCTGTAATGCAAAGCTGTAATATGAAAGCTGAATTATTATGCAAATTTTCATTAGTGCAAATGGGAATTGCAACCGGCTCTTGTCTCGCCTCCCTCCCACCTTCTATCTCATACTCAGCCTTCCATACAAGCAAACATCCATTATGTTTTATACGTTCAGACTGTCGATGATGAAAATGACATTTGTCTGAATGGCTGACATCTCATTAACTGCCATCACCATTGTTCTGTCATTGTGTTAGAGTTGTAAGCGATGGCTTTGTCAGTGCTGATTAATTCTGTTTGTTTTCATGTCATCCTATGAAAAAATAATGAATGCCTTTCTGATGCTTTTCCCTTTAATACATGTATTCACCGGCCTTTCTTTGTCAGAGAAAATTAACAAGAGATAAATTACTAATTTGTGGTAAAAGAAAAGCTTATTTTAACCTACAGTACCAAAGGATAGAACGTTGGAGAGAATTAAATGTCTGACTAATGGGCTAATTAAATCTGCTATAACGTAGCAGATTCAGGTAAATTGACCAGAACAAAGTTCTCAGTTTCAACAAACACACTGCCTTAGTTCTGAGCAGGTTTACTGTGCTGTGTAGCTTGAACTGGTTTTGGAGTTGACTATCAAAAGAACAATCTACAAAAGCTTTTACAGATAATTCAAATTGTGTGCATATGAAAAGAAAGTCTCACGATTGGTCATCATGTACCATCTGACTGATGGATGAGTTGTGTTTGGTTCGTCTCGTCCTTCGCTGCCACTGTGATAGATTGTGCCCATTCTCTGTGTGCACATCTGGACTGTCTGCAATTAAATTCTCTTCCTGTTTGGGGAAGTTTTTTTTAATGTATTATAAACCAATTTAAAGAATTTGTTTAGATCTATTTTTGTGGTGTTCATTGTTTGTGTGAGTGAAGCAGCAAAAGAGTAACGTGTTTTATGTTGGTGTTTCTTGTGTTCAGGTATTTGCCTTGACTCTATTCATCACCTTCCCACTTCTGTGTCTGTCTAGCATCTCATTGTACTGTTCCATTTGATTTCTAGACAGGTACTGTACTTGTCTGGACGACCTCTGCTCGCAGGTTAGAATGCTGGGAAATAAGTGTGAGTTTATGTCAGTATATGTGTGTGCATGGTTGTTCCTGAATACTGAATAAAGCAGAAACTGTCAAAGTCTACGTTGGTTGTCAAACTATACTTAGTGAGAAATAACAGGACGAGCCTTCTTTGTTTTAGCTGTCAGTCCTCAACCTAAGCCTACAGCCTAGACTAGACAAAGGTTCAGTGACAAGATGTCGAAAGGTGTTACACAAGAGCTGGGGTATTTTTGTTGGCAAACATTTGGCGATTATGGTACATCCTGTTGTTGACATAATATCACTATAGAACATATTAATTATAGTTTCTGTGCAACCTCAGAAGTTGCCCTTCAAAGATTTTGAACAGTGATAACACTGTGATACATTGGCTAACCATTTGTCACTTTTTGACAGTACTATTGACTCTTATTGTAGCTAGCAAAAACAATTACACAGAAAGAAATATCATGCTTTTGTTTGGTTTTATGAAAAAAAAAAACAATTCAGTAATTAAATAGCTGAATTTGTGCATCTTCTTGTTGTGGGCATAATGTTAGGGTGGGACAGGCCATCATCATTCTAATCGACACTTTATGTTGGACGTCCCCACTTACATTCCAACATACAGTAGCTCAATTCAGCCAGAATAACCACAAAAACCTGTCTGGGTGTGCACAGCCTATAAAGGAACACAGGGATATTTTGGGAATATGCTGTCTTCCCTGGAGTTAGATAAGAGGAGCAGCATCACTTTCATCCCTGTGTTCAGCTCCTGTGGTCCCAGGATGTGCTTCGCCTTGTTTACAAGACAGCCAAGTCTGGAAACATGGTGATCTACAGTAACTTAGAGATGGAAAGCGTTTCCTTGTGTGAGCAATTTTTAAATTATTTTGGCCTCCATGCTTGTCTGTTTATGACATTCTCACACTGGTACCTTCACAAACATAACTAAAAGAAAGTTTTTAGTTACATTCCAGAGGGCTTCAAGTGCACGGGGTGCTTGATCTATATCTACTGTACAGTATAACAAGGAAAATCTTTGTTTCAATGTGTTAAATTAACATTACTCTCTAGACATTAATTTAGCCTGCATACCAGCAGACATGCATTCCTTTATTCTTTGACCTTTATTTCTATCTCTAAGTCAGACATGTTTCTGTCCCATCTCAGAAGTTGAGGATGACAGCTTGGTCAGCACTGGAATAATAATAGCTGCCAGACTTGTGCATAGACTTTTTAGCAGAAATATACTGTCAGACACCGAGCAGGGACCTATTTCAGATGTAATTTTGATTTGGTGTTATGACAAAATTCAAATGGCCAAACATAGGGGAAAAAAATCCAGTTTCTTGAAAAACAGGAGAGATGAAACAAAAATGTAAGCAGGCTGAATGTAGATGGAATAAAACCAAGTAAAACAAATGGTATTTATGTGGTATAAATGTCAAGCTTGTTGAAAAAAGAGAAGAGGATGACGCCTGGATGTCTGAGTAGGCCAGGGGCGTTAGTACTTTTTAACGGGAGGTTTAGATAGAAACAGTACACACACACAACCTTGTTCTTTCACTAAACGGATCCCTACATAGACTTGCACCCATTTCCAGGAGACTTACACAAACTTTAATCAACCCTGAAACTTATATTCTAACCTTAAACCACAGGTTTTTGTTAAATTCAAAACTTTACTTTGGCATCCGGTTCCCACAAGAGATGTGAATTCCCACAGCGATAGTGTGCTCCTGGTTTTTGGTGCAAGTATAAAAAAACAAACCACGCGCACCACACACACACACAGAGGGAGAAAGAGAGAGAGTATGTGAAAGTACTTTATTCCACTACTTTCAGCCTGTCAATCAAGTCAGTCTGGCACCTTACGCTTTGCAGAGGTAAAAGCAGACATAATATAACGAAGCAAAAACCTAATGATGTAGGTAGTGTTTAAAAACGTGTGTGTGTGTGTGTGTGGAGCCATTTTTTGAGCAGGTGTTTCAAATACACAGAACAGACTGAAATTAAATGTCAGGTAAATACCAGAGCATGAACCCAGCCCTACATCCATTGTGTGAGTTCTTTGTCTCAGATAATGACTATAAGTGTTTTTCCTGATTATTTAAAAGCATCTGATTATGAAGAAACAAGTAGGAGTATTCAATGTGTGGATGTGTGTGAATAAAAATAAGTGTGTACATAAGAAATAATTGGTTTATTTTAGTTTTGATGGAGTGAAATGTATGCCTTAAAATAATTTAATGTAATTAAATACATAATTAATGTTGTTTATGTGCATAATACACTGTATATAGCCACTTAGATTCTTGCAGCTTCCACAACCAAATCGCAGGTTTCAAGTGTCCATGAACACACCAATAGTCCCTGTTCACTGCTGACAGTAATTTGATTAAAAATAAATAAATAAATTGTTGTGATTGATTATCTATTTCAAGAAAGTTCCAAGTCAGTGAAAGTGAATTTTTCTTTAGTGGAATGAATTGAATCAAAAGGTTGCCTTGAAGGTAAGAAATCAATCTAAGATATGTAAATATGTAAAGTGTATGCAATTTGGAGTTAATGGGCTAAAACATGCAAAACCACTGATATGATGCTTTAACACACAAGTCTGTCTCAGCTGCCAAAGCATATAATGATGATGGATAAAATTGTAAAATACCACCCTCATAGTGATGGACCTCCATGGATTCAGACCTTTGCAGACCCTCTGATCTCTGCAGAGCTGGACGTGTAAATAGCCAATTGTTTGTTAATACTTTAACTATAAAAGCCTTAGAAGGATGATGATGTTTCAGATGGGTTTTTAGTTTACTCCATTGTCCCTAAGGGGCCAAAAAAGATCTATCAGTGCAGTGGTAATAGCCCTGAAAACATACGTTGTCAGTCAGCTTCTCACTATGAGTGATGGGTTCCTGTTTTTCCTCTGTGCTTGTTTTAGCACCATTTGACAGTCGGTGGCTTGTTTGGTCACTGTGAATCAAACATGATCAAAACACAGTGTCTTTGATAAATAAAAACTAAGCAGATTTTGTTCACTTTGATTTTTGCTTTAGTAATGAATATCAGTATAACAGAGAAATACCTGCATACAAGGCTTGAAGCCAAGTTTTCAGGTTTTAAGCTTCTAGCATCCTTTCTGGTTTTTTTACACTCTCTTCCTCATGTCAAAGCACATCTGTCTTTGTTCTCCCCGTTCTCTCCTTACCTCAGCCTGTCGCCCCACCTTCACTCACTCCTTACTCTTTTCTCTTTTCACCTGTCTTCCTGTCTCCTTCCTTGTGTCTTTTTTACTTGTACCTTTACTGTTCTTCCAATTTCTCTCAGTTTCTTGTCTCACTTGCTCGTCTTCCACCATTTATCTTGGCAGAAGTTGATGACCAAGTCCTCCTCTCTTTGACTTGCAGACTCCCACACACACATAACATCAAAACACAACTGAGTTTACACACTACCATGTCTCCCAACACAAACACATTCAGTACACATACACACACACACACACTCTCTCTCGACAGTAGGTTACTCTGTGTCAGAAACTGTTCTCTGCTGAGAGGCTTGTGGGTGGTGTGATGATGCCGAGTTACTGTGGCGATTTTCTGTTGCCTTGGCGACACCTCACAACAAGCAACCGCGGCATACAAGCATAGACACACACACACACGGTATGTTTTAATTCCTTTTGGGGGCTTTACATTGACTTACATTCATTTCCTGTAGACTTTTCTTAACCTTAACCATAACCACTACTTGCCTAACACCTAACCATAACCTGATGAACCTGCGGCACACTACTGATGGAGTGTTTCTGAAATTCAAAACGTAATTGTTGAGCGCAACACCCAAAACTTTGTTATTCTCAACCACTTTAACACATTCTAGACTTTTTGCCTAAACTTAACCAATTAAGGCCAAGTGCCTAACACTTAACCAAAAAGAGCCGCAGAAAGGAAAGGTCGAAATCTAACAATTCCTAACATTGTGTAGAAAGATGAGGAAAAAAGTGAACTGAATCCACTCAATCCAAATGAGTCTGAAACATAATAAAATGTAGAAAACTTGAAAGGGTCTGAACACTTTCTGTATTGACTGTACATTCCAATGAATGATATCTGATATCCAGTGAGAGTAAAGGAAAAAGGAGAGAGGGAGGAGGAGAATAAAAGAGTGAGAGAGGAATAGCACCAATCAGTGGCCAGTAATTGGAGCCACTTGTGCCACTCTCCCTCTTTCTGTCTGCACTGCCATCTCTATTATCTCTATTAACTCATAACTCCCTCACTCATAAGTGATTCACACACCTTCCTTTTTATGCACACACACACACATACCTGCATAATCAATCTCACATTTTTAATTCACACAGACACACAATATTTTGCACGCCTTGATTATCCACATCTCCGCGTCTTTCTCTTTCTCCAGTTTAGACATACACTGGCACACACTCTCCAACTCTTCCTCACACACTTGCACCAACACACCCACACACTGAAATCCACACACACTTTTTCCCTCACATTCACACAGTGCTGCCAGATAGGCCACATAAGAGCTTCTTCCTGTGCTGCTCGCCCACCTGCTGCATCACGCACCATAATACTGAGAGAGAAAGCATCTCTTCAACCTTTCCAAGTGAGAGGCACTTAACAAAAAGTGCCATCTTTCATGTGAACATCACTCAAAGTCTCCCTTTTTGGAGCATGCATTTCCCTTCACATACATAGGGAAAATGGTCTTGTGCAGATGGCCAACAAATTGTAGTGTTGTGACCTTTCATCATGACTTTGGTACCAAAAAACAGATGTCACAGCCATGTGATTAGAGTCTATTTTTCTACCACCCAAAGTTACCTTGATGACATTAAATGTAGAAAAAAAACAAAAAAACAGTGCTGCGTTTTCTAAAAAGCCAAAAAGACAGCTCATTAAGGTGCTATTTATTATCCATCTCCTTCCAAAGACAGTCAACTGACACACATTAACAGATATTCAACTTTAGTTCAAGATGAAGTTTGCAATTACAAGCTACAATGACACTAAAGCAGGCCTGACAGCAATCAGTGGTGTGTGATGACAAACCTTGTAACTCAAATCATCAGACACATACAGTACATGATGTCAGCCTTATACAAATATGAACTTAAGGTTTCAAAAGGAATTTCTCTGGAAAATGAATCTGATTTGCACACAATCTGTCACAGGCACTGGTGAGTGCAGAGTCGGATGACATTTCCTCCACACTGGACATTTGTCTCGTGATTGGCTGTAGGATCATCACATTTGGTATTCAAACCATGGCAGAGGTGGTGTTGTCATTTCTGTTAGATACTGCCAGTACATGCCGACCACATGATTATCAGTTTCTGACTGATTTTATCAGTGGTATTAGCCTGTACTGTATGTACAAGGTGTGCAATGGATGATTTAGCTGAAGATCTGGTTTAACATCTGGTCTGAGACGTTTCTGCTCTGTTGGCTGCAGGTCTGATCAATACTCAATTTAAATATCTTATTAAGACCTTAGAACATGGAATTTATTTCCCATGAATTTTCTAAATATTTAACTCGAGCTTTTGTGAGAAATTCCTCTTTGATAACAACTTATACCTATAAAAGTACTGCATAGATGATTACCTGATTGTTGTGTGAATCTACTTTGCTCCTGAGATTTAATTTTACTCATAATCATACAATAATGGTATCAATAATGGAGCAAATATACAAGCAGTGAAACTATGTCCTTAAAGTTGTCTGAAGAGAAATCACCAAACCTAAAGTTTAGAATTGGCCTAAGCTGTCACTTTTGTCATGTACTATACAGCACTGCAGACAATCTGCTGCTCTGAGTTTAGCTTTTTCTTCTCTTCTGTAAAGAACTGACATCTTGTGATATGGCTGCTGTCCAGTTGTTGCTTTTATGTACTCGTTGCATTGTGAAAACTGTGATTGAGACTTTGCTCTGACTCTGGCTCTACAATGCTCAGTTTCAAACTTTCATCTCTTTGATTGCATTCCTCTCTCTCTTCTTAGCTTTCTCTCCTCTCTGTTTCATCCTGTTTATCATCTTTGCCCGTGTCCACTCTTTATTATGCATCTGTTCCCTCTGCAAGGTCTTTAAGGTGCGCTCCATCACTTTGCTCTAGCTCATGTGTCTTGTTTGTGCATCCTGGTTCTGTTCCTAATGTTCTCATATAGTCGCTAGCCTTGGTAAAGTAGTTCTCCAGTTCTGCCACAGGTCCCTTACCAGAGAACAGATGGTCCAGATATGCCTGGGCATATTGATCTGAGGTGATCAGGTCCAGGTTGATGGAAGAGGACACAGTTGGAGAGGTATCATCAGAAACCCTTCTTCTCCCTGTTAGGTTCAGCTTAGTTCAGTTCAATGCAGCTTGACTGAATTTGTTTTCTTGTTTACTTAAAAAAAAAGGTCTACAGTACCTATCTCAGTCTCCAAGTTGGAGAGAGGGATGGTCACACCTTTTCCCGTCTCTCTGTCTGTTACAATGAGTCCTGTCATGGCTCCCACCTCTGGCACTTCACTGGAGTCATATGATGCCGAAAGACCCCCTCGACATTTCACAACACACACTGTGTTAGATTTATAATACCTAAAACGATGAGAAAGAATTAGGATAAACAAAGAAATAACAACAACAACAAAAAAAATCTGCCAGCTAATTAGTTTAGCACTGGATTCAAAATTTCCTTTGTGAATGTATTAACTTATAAAACTCTTTGATTAAAAAACTGTTAAGTCTTGGCTTTCATGCTTTTCCCATTTTACTCACATGATATTTATTGTGTCATGATTGCAGGTAATCATAGTTTTCCTGTAAACAACGAGTCAAAGCATAAGCTGAAAATTTTATAGTGAGACTTTTCTGACAATCTGATGAAGATTTTCATTGTTTTTTTAGTCATATTTGGAGCAGGCTGCAGGGCTCGTCTCAGGATACTGTGTGTGTGTGTGTGTGTGGTTTCTGCTGTCAGTAAGCTTTATAAGACTCCCGCTTCTTCTGAAGCGCTGTGTGTTTTCAGTGTTTGTACTGGGACTGGTGTGTGCCTTTCACATGACTTCAGACGTTACCCGCCTACAGTACAAACTCCATTTCCACCAAACACTGTGTGCATTGTGGATTCATGTACCAGTTACTGCTTGTACTGTATTACCTGTAAGATGGTATGATCTGTATAAGGTCCTCCTTGTATTGCTCCAGTGCTGTTCTTGCAGCCAGGGGCTCAACGTGACCGTCAAGAACAGCTAGATGCATCAACATCTGGGTGTGAAATGCTGCTGCACTGGCCCAGTGTCTCACAGACCTGGAGCAACAGACAGTGTCAGAACAAAATAAACTCCTCGTGACAGCTGTTTTTAAACCACTGCAGCAGTGGGCTACTCATCTCCATGCAGCCATTTCTACTCTGCTCTGTTTGTGCTTTACAGTACTTTAATCTGTCTAAATGTATTCTACTTTACTCTCCTGTACTCTGTATTGTATTTTACTTTATTTACTCTCTGCTGTGTGGAATTTTACCTGATGTGACAAATCTTCCACTCCCGTGTATGCTGCTGCACTGTATGATATCATCCTCAACTTCAGTACTGTGTTCTCTCACCTGGAGTCACAGTCTCCCACCAGCAGGCAGGTCTTCAGCTGGGTGAGCGTGAGGCTGAGCTGGGCCTCAAGTCTGACACAGTCCTGGATCAGCCTGCTTTTATTGCTCAGGTTGATCCTACAGCGCTTCAGGTACTCCTCCATCACCTCCTGGAGCTCCCAGACTCTTTGCTGGAGGTAAAAAATAAATAAATAAAAAACAAAACAAAAATAAAGTCTCAAAATTGTACTTTAGTCACTTTTTACAACAATTTTTGGATGTGGGAATTCATAACTACACTAAATCTATCAGAAGCTTTACCTGGCATGATGATGACCCCGCTGATTTTCCTTTCACCCCTGATGATGTGTAAGCTATGTCCATCACCATAGTAACCACTAATCCCACCAGGCCAGCTAAGCGTGGCTCATCTGAGAAAGTCGTAAGTCGGCCAATCAGATCCTTCAGGTAGGTGGGTGCCCTGTTCCCAATGCCCCTCTGCAACTGGGTGAGATTCACAGCGTGCTTTTAGAGAACTCCAGTGGACTGTTTGTTACAACTGGCCTCAATAAAATAAACATGTTACTTTGCTCCCCTTTAGGAGCATTTAGTCATCCTTGATCCTTCTTTGCAACCCCTAGCAAGAGCACATTTCTAATACTGAGTGGTGCTCAAGGCAACAGCTTTTTTTCACACCTGTTCATCTCCAGCTGCACTTCATGACTGAACTGAGTTAAAGGTGAAATCAATGAGTAGTTTACCCTCTCAAGATTGTTTTGATAAATGCAACACTATCATTTTTACTGTCATACTTTCTTTTGAATCTCATGAACCTGTTGCAGCTGTTCCTGGAGGTGGTCCCGGGAGTCAAAGCTCTCATCATGACTGGCTAAGAGAAGAGGGTGGACAACTCCGAGGTCAGGTACGGCACCAGCTTCCAACATGGTATTGTAGAGGAGGGAACCAACTGCATCCTTCATTTGAGAAAGCTCTTCTTCTGATGACAACAGTTGACCCATGATGATACCTGTGTTTATGTATGTGTAGTGTCAATACCTCTAATCTATAGCAGCATATTAGGGCAAGAGAAAAGAAGGAAAATTCAGCAATGAATAGCTGGTGCTAATACCCATAATATAGATAATGTATACTGTATAATATGATACACTATGAGGGTTTTAACACAAGCTGTGAATGTTTTTAGAGCCTACACAATTCAGAACACAACATATATCCATTTGATTCATGTCAGCAAGATGTAACATTTTCCACACTCCTCCAAAATACTACCCTAACATTTCTCACTAACATCCCAGCAGCATTCTAGTCACATCTAATCTCTCTTACTGAAACAAGTTGTGTTTTAGCCAGCCGGCTTCTTTTGTGTCCTCACCTCCCCTCTTCCTCTTCTGTCCACCATCTGCTGCAGCCAAGAGTTTACCCAAGACAACACAGCAGTAGAATGGAAGCCAGCAGTAAATTTAGACCTCCCTCTAGCTGTGATGACCAGGAAGTGCAACTGCTATGCATGCTGGGAGGAGTTTATCATGCCATCAAGGCCATGGGCTCTAGCCTGCTCTAGTTTTAACCAGATGATCTTTATCTAAGAAGGTTTTGACACCTGGATAATTAAAACCTCGGAGAACAGCCATTTTGCACTATTTCTTATTTCCTTTAAGTCAATGCTTAAATCCGACTAATCCTCCGCTCCCTGCACGAGGACATAGGTCCTTGGGAATTTAAGTAATCATTACAATCTCTTTATGGCTGTGTCACATATTGAACAAATAGGCCAAGGGCTTTCAGCTTTTTTATTTAGCTAAATTGAACAGCAGCCCTGGTGGTGGTGTAATGTTAATGTTTTTACATGATAAAATAGGGATTTGGGATTTTGTAGTCTGAGAGATGTTCTCTGTTAAGTGGACCAAAGGCTTGTGCAGTGACAGGCTTTAAAGTTATATGTGTATAAGTACTGTAGCTAAATGAAATGCCTCACGTATTGCTGTGGAATATAGTTCAGGTTAATGTTGATGTCTAGTGGAACAATGTTATGACACTGTCAGACAGCATTTATGCAAAATGAGCTTTATATTCAGACTAGCACTAACTGTACCAATGGAGAATTATGCTTTATTATTATCTACTTTAATCATAAACAAAGCATTAACTATTTGTAATGTGAAATGAGTTAGTTGCAAAATTGCAGAGACTGCAGCCTTGAAGAGCTTTTCATCTTTAAGTGTTTTAGTTTTTATAGCCAACTCCTCTGGTGTTTTGTTTCAGTCTCTCTCATCAGCCCTGTTTCCAAATGCAGCAGGAAGCTGTTTTAAGCTAAAAAACAAAAAACAAAACAAAAAACAGTGAACACACTCCGACCAGCACCAAAGAATGGACAGCCTAATATACTGTATGTGGACACTATCCGTATAGTTCATGTTTTGATGTTTACAACAAGTTGCACTGCCCGCAAAGGGGTTAAAACACCCATTAACCACCAAAGTTCAATAACTGAGGTAAACAAAATTATTCATGTTATATGACACTGCATGTATTTGTGGAGAGGAAGCCTCTGTTACCCACAGAGGGCCCTGGTATTGTGCAATTCAGCACATTATCACTGCTGCCAGAGCTTAATTCAGTTCACAACAACAATTGTCTCGGGGCACTTTCCATAATCAGGTCTAGACCCTAGATTGTTATAAGGAAAACCCAACAAATCCTCCTTGAGCAAGCACTTGGCGACAATGAGGAGGAAAAACTCCTTTCAATGGAAAAAACCTCAGACAGACCCTAATTCTTAGTGGGAGGCCTTCTGCTTTGACTGGTTGGAGTGAGTGGATAAAGGAGAGAGAAAAGAAGAAAAGCAAGGACTATCTCTGATGTTTGCTCATCAGAAACACAGAGCTCTGGAGCCAGGGATACCTGCAGGAAGTACAGGGAGAGGAAGGACAGCCAAAGAAACCAAACCAAACCTATCCTAGAATAGGTGCACATGAGAAATAATTTAAAGAAACACTGTGATCACTTGTGTCACATTAATTTGGCAATTATATGTCGATGTTTAAACAACACATGGGCCAATACACAGACTGTTCTGCTGTTCTTGTTGCTCTTAATAGCTTCTCTCAGTTTGATGCTGTGCTTGCTGGGTGAGCTCACTTTCGATCTCCATGGAAGCTTGACCTTGTTGACGCACTTCACGCTCCTCTAAGAGCAGTAAATATTTAAATGTGCTCATACCACACACATACACAGCCACCAGCACCCAGAAATGGGCACAGATGCATGTTTAAGTGGTGAAAATCCGGTGCTCTCACTCTTTTGCTCTGATTTTTTTTTGCTGTCTCTTTCTAAAGGTCTCATTTCCATCACAGAGTGAAGTGAAGATGAAAGGAAAGTGAGAAAAGAGAGCAGGGAAGTGATTGTGGGAGAAAGGA